AGAGGGATGGGTGGATAGAGAGAGAGAGAGAGAGATGATGGATAGATAGATATATAGATAGAAAGAAAGAGAGAGAGACAGATAGCTAGATAGAGAGATGGATGGATGATAGAGAGATATAGATAGATAGATAGATAGAGAGAGAGAGAGAGAGAGATAGCTAGATATAGAGAGAGATCAAACCATGCAGCACCAGAAGTCGCATTAATGGTAAGAAGTATTATATGTATGGATAGTATCCATCCATCCATCCATCCATCCATCCATCCATCCATCCATTTTCATCCGCTTATCCGTTACCGGGTCGCGCGGGGAGCAGTAGCCACCCAAATCACATTGCACCGGACCAACCCCCCCCCCCCCCATTCCTGTGGGGGGGGAGTCCCCTGGAAGGTAGCTATCGCCCTAACCGGGATTCGACCTTGCCCGCGAGGTGAACCCTGGGGTTCCACACCAATGACAGAGACATTGTATGAAAAGTATAACAACGTTAATACGTTTTTTTAAAAAAAACAACTTTAATACCTTCTTTAATACTTAAAACAGAAACTTATTAAACAAAAATTATTGGTCTGGTTAAAAAAAGTAAGAAATACATTTTTAAAATGTATTTGTAAATGAATGAATGTATTTTAAAATGACTTTTTTGGGCTCTCTCCGTTGAAAAGTTTCCCGACCCTTGCTGTAAACTGACCAGTCTCTGACTGTCTCTATGTACTAAATAGCCACCCACATGCTACAGCCCTTTACTGTAATAAACACGGAAGAAGCCCATACATGCAAACACAGATGTTCCTCTTCACTTTAATCATGTAGTAACGTCTGACTCATGTGGGCTGACGTCCTTCTCTAAAACGCTTAAAAGGGCCAAAACTGCCGTGCTTCAAAGTAATACTGAAAAGCACTTGTTTGTGTCATATTTATGGTATAAATATTATTTATTTATTTATTTTTTTCTCCACTACTTTGGTCTATTTTTTAACAGAAAAAAAAAATTTCACCAAAAACAATTCAAATGTTTTTACTTTTGCACAGAGTTTTATCCGTTAACCTCATATCGCTGCTTTTTATTATGCTGCCTCCTTTTACTTTATCATTTTTTCTCACTGACTCCAACCCGCTCTTATCCTTTGGTAATCAAGTCAGGGAAGTCCACCTTTACACGGGTATATAAAATCCAAAAAAAATTCTTACTTCACAAAGTTTTACTAGAAATATCTTGGAATCAATGCCATGATTTTACAGGTCTAATTTGCTCTTGTTTCAGATAACCACAGAAGAGGACTATACCTGGAGATGACTCCGGATGGGAGAGTTTCAGGAAGTGACGGTCAGACAGCCTACAGTAGGTTTTACTTTATAATATACTGTAAATGTATACATGGGGCGTTCTGTCTCTTTTAAATGGATAGTTGACTACACAGTAGGAGGGTCGATAATACACTCCAGCCAGAACAGCCAGAGTGTGTGACGACTGAGCAAATTTAAGAGAAAGGACCAGATGGACATTTGTTTCTGTTGCAAATTACAGGAGAAGTTGTAGAAAAAAAAAGAAGAATGTACCATAATTTCCGGACTACGAGCCGCTACTTTTTTCACACGCTTTGAACCCCGCGGCTTAAATAATGATGTAGCTAATTTATGGATTTTTACGATCAGTGACTTTTCTGGTAGGCTACTGTGTGTTGTACTAGTAGCGTATGTCTGTCTGTGAATGGCTGTGTGCGTATATGTGGGTGGCGCGCGAGAGAGAAAATGGTAGCGAAAGTTGAGCAGTTTGAGCCCTGTCATGTTGAAGTGTCAGTTGGTTATACAGGAGCTGTTAAAACTCTGTTTATGTTCTGTTGTGGTCGGAGTGGCTGATAATAAAGACTCCAGAGCTAGCCCCAGAGCTAATGTTAGCTTCGACGCTAGAGCAGATCACTTACCTGTGCTTTCCGGTCAGGGCACCGAAGCAGAAAAGAGCTAACGTGTAATTAGCCGTACTACATGCTGTGGTCGGAAAAAAGGGGCATTTATTTAATTAAAAGCTAAAAATAAACAAAAAAAAGTTGAATGCAAGAAATGTAGTATTTCATAACTTTTATAAATATATTTTTTATAATTTAATCACAAAAAGAAAAATTTAAACATTTAATTTAGTAATTTAGTAATTTTTGCTTAGTAATTATTTAGTGTAATTCGAGTTGATTACATTACATGAATCATGGTTTCGTAATTAATTGCATTCAGTGTTGTAGATTATTACACATAAAGCTCACACATGGCTTTATAACTGTGATTTTTTATTACATTTTCCGATGCCAAAGTACATGTGTATTTCATTGTCTTAGCTTTAACAGATCCGTTTTTAATGTTACAGTGGATAATTCATGTACAAATGTTCAGGAGTAACAGAAGAGTTTTGTAAAGCCATATTTAGTTTGTGTTTATGTTCCTGTTTCTTAGGTGTGCTGGAGCTGAAATCTGTGAAACCAGGCCACGTTGTCATCCGGGGACAATCTTCGTCCATGTTTCTTTGTGTGGACAGCCGTGGGACATTGAAGGGACAGGTACGGCGAACAGAGCAAACGATAAACGCCGGGAAATGTTAACGCCCTCCTTCATGCTTCATCCCTCTGTTTCCAATGCAGAGTCACTACACAGAAACAGACTGCACCTTTCGAGAGCAGCTGCTAGCAGACGGGTACAGCCACTTCACGTCTTTGCACCATGGCGTTCCTGTGTCTTTGGCCAAAAAGCTCCACTTGGGTCAACACACGCTGCCCTTCGTTAAATTTCTGCCACTCAGGAATGTTAGACGGTACGAATCCGTGTCAGAAACACCACAAACCAACCAGAGACATTTCAATTTGGACTCCGATGATCCTGTTGGAATGGCCCTTTATTCTATGGCAAGTCCTCAGTTCTCACTGGAAAAGTAATGACTGACTCACTTGAAGTTAAAGCGTGCCTTCTGGCAGTGTGCAGACTTGACTTTGTTTTGTTTTGATTGTGTATTTAATTTTTTTTTTATTATTATAACTAACGCATTATTTATGAATTTGTAATATATTTAAAATGGGGCTATCGATTTATTAAAATATTTAATTGTGAATTTGTGATTTATCGTGATTTTTTTCATCTGTATTAAAATATATTAAATAAGAAATCATAAGAGTCTTTATTATAGGAAATGACAAATACATAAAAATACATTATGGCACGTTGATGTATTAGTGGAGGAGTTTGAAATACAAATAGCGGCGTACGGGGTTTTGAGCAGGATGACTACAGTACAGTACTACTGTTCATGGGTTGAGCAAAGGTTCTGAATCATAACAGTACAACACTGCCCTCTACTGTACGGTAACACGAAAAGCAGGTTTACAAAAGCATTCATGAAGCTAATGTTTAGAGCCAGAGCTTGAAGGTTATCTCTGAGCATGAAAAATGTTTGGACATTTTTCTGCCGTAATAATCTGATTTTTACTGCTAGAATAATAGAAGAAAATAAAGGTATTTTTTAACTAAATAAAATTACGATTAGATATGTGGTTTTTCCACACAAGAAAGTTAAACACATTTAAAATACCTATAGTACACTGAGTACATTGAGTATACCGGTTATGATAATTTGCAAACTCAGACAATGTAGCACTGATGTTTTTTTTTATGGTTTATTTAACATGAATAAAAACAACAGTTCCTGGGTTAGCGTACATTTTGTCACCACATAAATTGATTAGTAAAAGATCCTTTTTTAAAAAAAGGAAATTTTACTTAAAACACTGCATGAACTAACTGGGCAGTTTGCATTGTGCTATACATGTTCAAAATATTTTTTTTTTTTGTAATCATTGATCACTCGAGTCATTCGGTTGCTTCCATGATTTTTACATTAATTAGCAGTTAGCTCAGGCGCGTATCGTATGCCTGTGCCTGTGAAAACAGCTCGTTGTAGCATAGCGAATGCCTCAAATTAGGGATGAGATTCATCACGATGCAACATGTAAAAAAAAAAAAAAAAAAAAAAATTATGACCCATGTATGTTCCAAAAAAAGAAAAAAACAAAAGACAAAGGCACAGAGGAAAGATTCTTGAAGGTGTCCAGGTGTCATGCCACCTTAAAGATTATTTAAGGTTGTATGCCAGACGCCTTAAAGAATCTTTAAGACCTTAAAGAAAAGTCTGTTCTTTATTAAAGACGGGTGCCGTTCATTGAGGATTTTGTTTTAATATTTCTATTATTACTGAATAAGCTACAGTAGCTTTTGTTTATTACGTGCGCTATTTCTTTTTTAATATGCGCTCTGCTGCTAAGAACTTTAACGTTTAAAAAAAGGCATGAACATTTCTCTTGTTGTATCGAAATAAAGTATCAAACTGTGACACCAAAGGTATCGAATCTTACCGCAAATTTGTGCCTCTATCGTCCGTACCTAATTGGTGCCTATTATGTTTTTATTTTATTTTCTTATTTGCAGATTATTTTTTTATATCGATATTTACAAAACCTTGTAATGCCCACTTTAAGTGATTGAGCGGCGTAACTGACCTGCCACGTACTGCACATGTCAACAGTCCATTACGTTTCCGTGTTTCCGTGTTTCCAGTTTATGTAAAGAATGTCATTAAAGGTATGCTGTGTGTTACGACATTGCGTTATAAAACAAAATAAAGAATCATTCCAAAAAAAAAAAAGAACACTTTCAACACTCTAAACCTGAGTGACAAGCGCCTCTCTCACCCACAAGTTCCCATCAAGGGGATAACATGTGTTTTCGATGGCAACGAATTCTCCATCTGAGTCCCTGCCTTCCATTCCTATGTTTTCTTCCTCAGCCTGCTCATCCTCATCCAGTGGCGTCTTCGCCTGGTTGTACATGGTTTTATCCACGCATTCAGTCTCTCTATGGTAAAAGTAGCTGAAGTTGGACACTATGACAGGCACCGGCAGTGAAATTGTTAGCACACCAGCAATGGCGCACATGGACCCTACTAGCTTACCCCACACCGTTTCTGGGTACATATCACCGTAACCGACTGTGGTCATGGTGACCACTGCCCACCAGAAAGCGTGTGGTATACTGACAAATGCGGTGTTGTTGTGGTCAGCCTCGGCAAAGTAGATGGCACTAGAAAAAAGAATGACACCAATAAAGAGAAAGAAGATAAGCAAGCCCAGCTCTCTCATGCTGGCCCTCAGCGTCTGACCAAGGATCTGGAGGCCTTTAGAGTGACGGGACAACTTGAAGATCCGGAACACCCTCACTAACCTGATGACCCGAATGATGGCCAGGGATGTGGTAGGACTAGTTTCGTGGTCCTTGGCCAACTCTGTTCCCAAAGTGACAAAATAGGGCAGAATGGCCATGAAATCGATGATGTTCATGACGTCCTTGAAAAAGAGTGTCTTACTAGGGCAGCTTGCAAATCGCATAAGGAGTTCAAAGGAGAACCAACATATGCATATGGTCTCCACTATAAAAAAAGGGTCACTAAAAACGCTCTGTGGGGGTGGCATTTTCTCAGACACATTCTTCGGCTGGGAGTGATACTTGTAAAAATATTCCTAAAAAAGAAATAGAAAAGAAAATATGATGGTTAATTTTAAAATACAAAACTTTTCCAGACTTTAACTCGCACTTTTTTTCATCCTTTGGCTGGGTTTGCAACTTATACTTTGTTGTGACTTATCTATTAAAATGTATAATTTCACATGTTCGTTATTTTCACACTAACAGCTAGAGGGCACTAGAGGGCACTCTAGGCTTGTGTAACAGTATCTGCTACTCCTGTACCACTGAAAATTTACATTTGTTATTTTGACACTGACAGGCACTAGAGGGCGCTCTAAGGCTTGTGTACCAGTATCTGCTACTCCTGTACCACTGAAAATTTACATGTTCATTATTTTCACACCAACAACCACTAGAGGGCACTCTAGGCTTGCGTACCAGTATCTGCTACTCCTGTACTACTGAAAATTTACATGTTCATTATTTTCACACTAACAGCCACTAGAGGGCACTCTAGGCTTGTGTAACTCTATCTGCTACTCCTGTACCACTGAAAATGTACATGTTCATTATTTTCACACTGACAGCCGCTGGAGGGCACTTTTTACACTTTTTTTTTCATTATGCATCTTTTGACTGGTGCGACCAGTAAACCAGAAAAATAAGAAAAAATGAGAAATTGGAGAAATTTAGAAACACTTCTTTAACCCCATCACCTAAGTGGGCAGGCAGCACTGTGAGGCCACCACTGCCTCACAATGTTGCTATCGCTTAATACTGGAATCAAAAATTAAGTGTTTGGACAATACCAGCATATTGGATATTAGCAAAAAGTTCATAATGGACATCGCTAGTTACTTGTGTACCTTGCATCCGACGCCTCATCTTTTCTCTTTCCTTTGCCGTCAAAAACCTTGATTATTTTGTGCACTGCTGCCACCTAGTGACTAGACGCTTGTGTGTATTCCACTGAAAACCTCTCACCCCCCCCAATACCTTACGGTTAGGGGTCTCAAACCACGGGGTTAAAACCAGTGGTCTACCATCTTCTGTATCTTTATTGAACCACCATCCAGTTTCGATGGTCTGGTTCCAGTTCCATTTCCTAGATTAGTGGTTCTCAAACTGCGGTACGCGTACCACCAGTCGTACAGTTTGAGAACCACTGTCCTAGATCACACACACATCCCTAAGGAGTGGTGGGTTTTACTATCATGTTTTACTGCCCTTCCCAGTTATGTATGTGTCCCTCACTATGGTCAGTTTTATCACCTGCACCTGTCTCCCGTGTTGTCCGTCCTAGTTACTAATGTACTATACTATACTCACATGTATACATAAAGCACAGGTCTCTCCTGCGCGTCCACACTCGTACTGCTTTTATCGTCTTGTTTTCATATCCTGTTTTTGGAATTTAATTTTTTGGAGACCATTACCGTTACCTTCTCTAAACAGCGTCTGGCACCAAACAGCGGCCAATCAAAATCGAGATACCCTTCACCTCTCCAGATCCGGATTAGAAATATCTGCATGCAAATGTTGTAAACAACAGATATGAGTCATTTCAAAGAACCTTTTTCGACATCTCCCGAAGCTAAATTTAATTTCCTTACACTGTATTTCATACTTAATTCCAGCTCTATATATTCTTTTCTAGTCTCTACCAACCCACCTGTCATCCATCTTCATGTCATGTGTCGCTTAGAATTACAGTATTATATGTCAGCCATAAAAAAATCACTCCTCGGGTTAGCAGCAGAGGATTTATGACATTTATACAAAAAGATAAGTTAAATGTTACAACGAGCATGTGAAATGTGCACTGTTTTAGGCCTGTTGAAAAAAAAAAAAAAAATAGGTGTACCAGTCGGCTGTTAAATTGACTCTTCCCAGGTATCAAATCTTCATTTCTAAAGGTGGATTTCTATGTGTCCATGTCCTTGAAGAGCCCTTCTCACACTAAAAATAGCCTGGGGAGATCTCAGCAGAGAAACATGAGAGTGCTGGCCTACGCCATTCCTTGTCCATCTCCACCTTTGTCGCAATCGCAGGTCTCTATCTCTCACACGTACAGCCATGAAAAGCAGCCAGTTTGCTTTCGGGACTCTGCCAGTGTCCGCTATGGAGATAAGTTACAGTGGCTTCCTGGTAGTCTGTTTATACGAAAGTCCCAGACTTAAAAGTCTGTAAGTGGGTGGGGTCAAACTCAATTTGGTTTAGGGCTGCCTACATACAGCCTGGGTAGAGAGACCATGGAATCATACATAATTACCTATAAATAACAATA